CTTGTACAATCATGCATGCGAAACAAATACTCAACCTTAAATTTCTAATCGATGTCCTTCGCTACTCTGAAGCTATTTGAAAAATGAGTCATGACGCACATGAGAACATCATCGAACGGGTAGTTTCTAGCCTCGAGGTAGCCGGAACACAGTGAGCTCAACGAGGCAAGTTAAGTTGTCGTCTACGAGGAGCAACCGTGTTTTATTGCAGATTCGTTTCAAAGCAGAAACGGGGCAACTGCGGTAAAGAAATATTTCACTCGCCGAAATGAAATGATGCGATTAGATGGAAGGAAACGCGATTAGATTTGATTGCTGGATTAGATTTTTTTAAATGTACAGCTTAAGCATGTTTTTTTCGTGCACACCATTCTGATTATTTGCGTTTATATCGTCGTATGAGAATTTTAGCATTATTTCATGCCAATTAAAGGCAATGACCCTCTGCATGATGAGCAGATTGGACATGCCACAGATAGCCATCTTTGATGGGGCGAGAAGGCGATGTCCGACGCTGATCAGTAAACCCTACCACAAACAGAAGGTTACCAAGCGCCTCCGTTCAGGATTTCGATGCGCTGGTTGAAAGATGTGGAGGATGAAGGCCATAGTTCACGAAGGCTGGTAACCGAAATGAACTGCTCATGAAACTCCCCATACCTTACAAGGAAAACTATCGAGGCTGCAAGTGCAAGCTGCCATCAGTCAGCTTGGCAGGAACTGCGATTACTTACGGCCCGGCGATGGTCAAGAAGCGATTGGCAGATGGCAATATGATGTCACCAAAATTTTCATGGCTGGTGACAACACTACAACTCTGTCATCAAGCCTTTCGTCGACATCAACACCACCAAAACGACGAACACTAAAACAAATGTTTGCAGCGTGTAGGAAATCTATGCGTATCGTAAGGTGGAACAACGGTGATCAAACAATCCTCGGAAAAACACACTAAAGTTGACTTCGGCCAGACGGTGTAGGTTTCATGGTAAAAAGAGGAGCTGTCCATCCTCTAGTCATCTGCAATTTAATCTGACCTCATTATGGCGTGTTAGCACCGATGTCTAAAAGGTCTGCTTTGAAATCCGGAGATGTCGGCCTCGATTTCACTCGAGAGCAATTTCAGCCTTATTTTCAGATTCCCTTGAGCAAGGAAATTATCACACTTTGCTTCAGATTGGGGTTTATCCGTCAGTAGAGCGTCGAACTCAGAAACGACAGATCAGATTTCGAGTTCCGGTCGAAGTCGCTCGCCCTTCTTTCTTCTAAGATTGATAGGCACGGACCACACTGAGGGAAGCAAAGAGAAGACTACAAAACATGCTTGCCACATGGCTGTAGACGATATCTCAAATAACAAGGCACATCTTGCTAATTACATAAAAATGGAGATCAGCGCAGCGTCATCAACTTGATAGGAAGAAGAAAGGCAAAATGGTCCAATCATTAAGGTGAGAGAAAGCTGACGTTGCAAATATGCCTCCTTTTCTTTCCCAATTTAACATAATACTGACGTAGCGATTTTGTGGGCAGACTTCTTATTGAAATTCTAAATCAGAAATGTTGTTCGTGAGTACGCTTCACGACTGCAATTCGCTTTGACCTTCTGGTATCTGAATGAATCAGTGAATACTTCACGGTTTAATAAATTTCGGCATCAGTGGGCACCTAAATAATCAACGACCTTAATGCTAAAGTACCCGTATTTATATATTTTGTGATTTTTTGTAAAACAGGATTTTTATGCATAAGTTATATAGTGATATCAGTCGCAATCTATATATTTTTATTTAGTTTTCTCAGCTTATAATTGTTTCATGTTAGAATTTCAACAAAATGTCTCATCTCGGCTTTCAGCAATTATTACGCAACGCTGCTTAATTTAACTACATGAGCGTAAAACAAAACTTAGATAATCGACTATGCATATTTCGGTAAGGTCCTTGAGAAGTTTTCATTACCCGAAGCTAAACTGTAGGTAAATTTTGAGTGACAGTCTTTTCGCTTTCAACTGAAGTGCTTTGCTTCATGGTTGCCCTCAAAGCCAGCTTTCATATTTGAACAGCTGTAACCCCATAGTTATTATTATCTCCTCAGTCATTATATGTCACAGGCAGGAGAAAATAAAGAAACGATTGTAAATTATGTCAGAAATTACTTGACAAAGCTTCAAACTCTGGATCCATGAATTTTCAGCTATTAGCATGTTACTGGTATTGGCAACTAATCACGTTGATTCTAAAGGAAGAAGACATTGTCATCTATGTCTTAAGCTTGGACATCTTGGCAATGAATCAAAAAATGATCCTACAGCAGGTAGGTCTATCCTACATTCTAATCCATTCGTTCCTTTTAGTGTCCTGGTTACAAATTTATCATCTGCTACGGACAAGTAAATTTCTCAAACTTTCGCAACATCTTATCTTTAAGAAGGTTCATGAGACGCGAAGCAAAGCGTCGAGATTGCTCAATAACCCGATCGACCATACTATTTATTTGTGTTGCGAACGGTGTCCTGTTTGCTGTTTCTCTTCTTATATTTCATGAACAGATGCCGTTTTAATCCTTTTGCTCATAGAACAGAAGGAACAACGCTAATTTTTATCACTGTCATTACGCAAGATCGTGCTCAATGTGAAATGACTAATGAAGTGCAATGTATCCTCACTGTTTGTTCTACTCTTAATGTTAGTATTGCGTTAATTTTCGATATGATTCGTTTATCTATACTGAAAAGGAAACTTTTCTGATGGCCTTGTTTATGCACATAAAGGCAATTGCAAATACGAATGAAGTAGAAATAATGATAACGTCGTATTTTTTGTTCAATAAAAATATTGTATAGTGGATTTTTTATTTTGAGGTTATAACACTGTTAGGCTGAAGTATCCAAAAATTGAAGAAAATAACCTCCAACTGCTCATTAAGCCCGTAATGGCGTAGGTCGTTTTCACGTCATTTACCTGTCCAAGCGTCATGAAAAATAAATGAACGTTGCAAGAATTTTAATCGGTAATCTTTCAAGTGCAGCTTTGCATTTCACCGACTGAGTTATCAGACCGACACTGGGTGCGGCACTGTGATGCTATCCCGCACCTTGGCTCTGCTTTCTTTCAGCGCATCTATATGAAATATTAGAATGATAAGGAAATAACGAATTAATTTTTTGTTAGTATTATTTATTACTCTTCCGTCTAAACGATGCTTTAAGATTTCCTTTACGCGGAGCTTTGGCATTTCATTGTTCGTTAGAATATCCTTTATCAGTGAATATAGTAAACCTGTAAATGATCGTCAACCACCGTTTCCTTTCACGATATGTAATAGGGTGTTTACGTCAAGGCGGTGTTTTGATGTTCGAAAGAATCACATGGAAATCGTATGTACGCGGAAGGCGTTGAACTTTTGTCCCTATCTAGCAGTAGTCATAGAACAACATTAGGTGGTACTGGATTCAGTGGATGGTAAGTAGGTGTGGTGGTGCCGCGTCGCGAAGGGTTTCGATGAACGATGGCGAAACGACAACGCTTTGCATGTGTATTCAGCGACCGTCGTCGCGGCGGGCACCGAAGACATCAAGTCTTTACGTTGTCATGTTCTAGAATATGCCTCTATTGCAACGTCCGCTGCTTCTGTTCCAATGAACTCAAGAAGGGAAGGTATTTCCATTTCATCATCGTCCGGCAACCGCCAGTTCTTCGTCGATGGTGGAATCCGGCGTATCCTTCACGACCGACCGTCGTCGATTGTCGTCGTCAAGCCTTCGGTGCAGGATGGGGGTACCACAGCATTCAGCGACTCGCTGCGGAAGATGACTTTGAATCCGGTCGGCGGCGGTGGCATCACAGGCACTCCTCGGTTGCAGCTTGCAACATCGGTGACTTCCTCCTCCTCGTCGTCCGACAATCCGTGCCCTTTAGGCAACGTCATTCTTCGAGGCAACCAACTGGTCATGATTCCGTCGCAACTGTGCAAGGCGACAGCCGGTGCTGGGGGTAGCGGTGATCAGCGGACTGCAAATCGCTTCGGTGGCACCCGGGTCATCTCCACGTGCGACCCATCTTCGGTCAAGGGTGTCGTAACTCAGCCGCTCAGGGCGACGGTCGCCGCTGCCTGCTCTCCTTCTACTATCCCTTCGTCCAATGCCACCCCACAGCCGATCGTCGTCACTCCCGTTCACCGCCTTTCGACGCCCACTCAGCGAGTTCGTCTTTCGTTCGACCCTCACCAGCATCGTCGTGTTACTCTTGGCGGAGGTGGCAGTGCTGGAGGCGTGGGAGTAGGGGTCGGAGTCATGGCCCCTTCTTCCACAGCCTCTGGCGAAGACCTGACGAGAACTAGAGTTCTACCGATGACCGGTGCCACCGCTTCTGCCATAGGAATGCAGCAGCTTACGTCGTCGTCCACCACCAGCGCTGTCCGGAAGCAGAACGTGATGATCGTCCGGACAAAGCCAGCGGTAAGTGTACCCCGACCGCATCGGATACATGATATACGTTGGTTGTTTCGATCGTAGAATCCCTCCGACCATTCGTCCGGCCAGACAACCCATTACGTGAAGACAGACGTCAAGGTGTTAACGACTCCGAAAAGTCACACGTTTCGCTTCCTCATTCCTTCTCAAACGCAGCAACAAGTGAAGCCAGGTACACCGATCTTCAGAACGCGTCGT